CAGGCTCCACACTGCCAGCATGGAGCCCAATGCAGGGCTTGGACCCACAAACCACAAGATCACAAACCTGAGCCAAAATCAAGGGTTGGATGCTTTTTCAGCTGAACTATCCAGGTGCCCTTCATTTTTTTTTTTTTTTAATGTTTATTTTTGAGAGAAAGAGACAGAGCATGAGTGGCAGAGGGGCAGAGAGAGAGGGAGATACGGAACTGGAAGCAGACTCTAGGCTCTGAGCTTTCAGCACAGAGCCCGACGCGGGGCTTGAAACCATGAGCAGTGAGATCAGGACCTGAGCCAAAGTCAGGTGCTTAACCGACTGAGCCACCCAGGTGCCCCATGTGCCCTTCATTTTTCAGGACATTTTAAATACCTCTCCCCACTCTCTTATGTTTTGGGGCTCCAAGGAGAAGTTGGATGTCATTCTTCTCTTTGCCCTTCTATAGGTAAGAGGTTTTTTCCTTTGGCTTCATTTAATAGTTTTAGTCATTTTCTGCAATTTAAATACTAATCTTGGCATTTATCCTGCTTGGTGTTCTCTAAGCTTCCTGGCTGTGTGTTTTGGTGTCTGACATTAATTTGGGGGAAATTTTCAATCATTCTTGCTTCAAATATAGCTCCTGATTTTCTGTCCCTTTCTTCTTCTTGGGGTATTCGCATTATGCATACTCGCCCCACCGTTCTTAGATATCCCATTCTGTCTTTTTCAGCCTTTTTTTTTTTTTCTCTTTGTTTTTCCATTTGGGATGTTTCTACTGACCCATCCGCAAGCTCAGAGTTTCTTCCTCAGTCATGTACAGTTTACCTACGAGCCCATCCAAGGCTTTCTTCATTTCTCTTACAGTGTGTTGGATCCCCAGCGTTTCTTTTTTATTCTTTCTTACAATTCCCACCTCTCTGCTTACATGGCCTTGCAATGTTGCCTACTCGGCATATTAGTTATATGAGTTTTACCTCCAGGAGCTCTACCAGGTCCTCGCATTAATCATAGTCTTAAAAAGTTTGTGAGGTTAAACTCACGTAAGTGACCCCTCCACCACCAATAATGGATCCCCCTGGAGTTTTTTTAATGTTTATTTATTTTTGGGGGGGGAGGGGCAGATAGAGAGGGGGACAGAAGATCCGAAGCAGGCTCTGCACTACCTGATGCTGGGCTCAAACTCATGGACTGTGAAATCATGACTTGAGCCCAAGTTGGACACTCAATGGACGGCCGGAACCACCCAGGTGTGCCCCCCACCCCTTGCCCCACATGGAGTTTTTAACTCTCTGACTTGTCCACAGGAGCCTCCAGCAATTCAGCAATTTCAGGTCAGGTTTTCTTACCCCCGGCACTGGTTGCCTGGACTTTTCTGCTCCTGTGTTTCTCTTCTGGTGAGTTGTGATTCTCTACGGTTACCTGTTTTCCGGAGAGCAGTTGGCCCCGCTAATTCCCCTCTCTTACGGATTTAAAAATTTTTGGTCAGTTCAGGTTTTTACTTGTTGTTAGCAGAACGGTGACATCTAAGCTCCTTACATTCCAGACAAGAAACCAGAAGTCTCTCCTTTGTTCCTGAGATTTGCAAGTGAGGCAGAGAAAGAGAGGCAGCCTTCAGAGGGAGGATTCTCTGAGGCCTGGACCTGAACAGTAGAATTTAGGCTAGTGACAGGGGGGCAGACAGGAGCAGGAAACCTCTCCTCCTAGATGTATTCACCACTTTGGCCCCTCCAGACGTGACATTTTGGGAAGCCTCAGGATAAAACACTCAGGCTTGGGCATCAGCCTTGGTCCCAGCAGAAACGCGATGGCAGTGAAAAGGGTGTGGTTTCAAATGGTTGCAGCCAGGGGTCTTCCCCAAGCCTGGGGAAATATAGAAGCCCTTACTTAGAAGGGATTTTGTTGGGGCTGAGTTCTGGCGCCCTTGAGTTAGAGAACAAATGGCCGTGAAATACGGGGTTTACCATTTAGCCCATGTTGAGCCACATTTCACCCCCTTAGGAGTGTCCACATCTCCTCTTACAGCGGTTTCTCGGTTCAGTCAAATGATTAGAGCAAAGACAGTCAGGAATATTGTGACTCTTTGGTGACAGCAAAGAAAATGTGTTCAAATTTGCAATGCAACAGGCCATAAATAGGTCAGATACAGTTGACCTTTGAACAAAGCGGGGGTTAGAGACACCAACCCCTGCATGTTTGAAAATCCTTGTATCACTTTTGACTCCCCCAGAACTTAACTACCAATAGCCCACTGTTAACCAGAAGCCATACCAATAATATGAACAGTCAGTTAACACATTTTGTAAACTACATGTATTATATCCTGTATTCTTACAATAAGCTGGAGGAAAGAAAATGTCATTGAGAAAATCATAAGGCAGAAAAAAAATGTTTATAGTACTGGACTGTATTTACTGAAAAAAACCCCGCCTCTAATTGGACCCACATATGTCAAACCTGTCCTGTTCAAAGGTCAACTATAGTAACACGTGTAAAAGGGGAAACTGGTGATTTGTGGCCCGGAACTGCAGTTTCAACATCAGGAGTTCAACATCATGGGTTCCTGTGGCTTCAAGTTCCCCAACTGTAGAAAATAATGGCAACAAAACCAGACTCAAAGCGAGAGATGGACAGGAACCAGGGAACCCTCTGGCTATAAAACTGCAATGGAAATGTGAGCCCCTAAGTTTCAGGTTCCAGGGATCTGTACCCACAGGAGCCTGAGGCTAAAAAAGCCAGTCCACTGCTTCGGATGACAGCTGATGTGGAATTTGCAAAGGAGGTGCTGATGTGTTAGTCCCTTCTTGTGCAACTGAAGCCCAGAAACACACCCTGAGTCCTGGTCGCAGGACGTTGGTCTGGATGCAAGATGCTTAACTGCCTGCAAGTGGAACAAGCTTCTTAACTCCCTTCCCTGCCTTCTATCTTCTTTCGAGTTTTCCCAGGCCTTAATTTTGCTGGGGCGGATGCCAGGGGATGGGGCAGCCAGTAGGATTGACGTGCTTGATGTTGACACATGAAATTAGGAAGCGGAAGAAGAGCTACTCAAACAGTAATCTTCCCCCCTCCTTGCTACCTCATGCACTGGCTATCATGAAGCAACACTAGTCCCTAGAAAGATGCTGTGGGGATGAAAACATTCTTCCTCTTGTCTACTGCCTTTGATAGCTACGGTATTGAACACCTATTAACGCCAAAGCTCTTTTAATTGTATAAAGCACCCTAAGAAGATTATACACAGCTTGACATCAAGATTATCAAAACCTCGTGTGTGTATTTATCTTTATATTTATATGTGTATATGAGTACACGTGTGTATATGTTGGAAGGGGGAGGCGCAAAAACTGACAACTACTTTGGGCGTCAAATTAATCACTAACATTATTCACCATAGCCAAATATGGAAACAACTTAAGCTCATAGATGGATGATCACATAAACAAGTTGCAGTATATATACAAACGAGGAGATTCTGCCATTTGCGATAATGTGGATGGACTCTGAGGGTGTTAAGCTAAATGAAAAAAGAGAGAGAAAGACACATACTAGGTGATCTCACTTCTATGTAGAATCTAAAAACAAACAAACAAAACCAAAGTCACAGAAATTGGGATAAGATTAGCAGTTACTAGAGGTGAGGCATAGGGGGAGTTTGGAGGAATAGAAGGAAGGTGGTATAACCTCCAGTTATACAATAAATAGGTACTAGGGATATAAACGTACAACATGATGACCATAGCTAACACTGCTTCAGGAGATATAGATCTATCTATCTATCTGAAAACAAGAGAGTAAATCCTAAGAGTTCTTATCTCAAGAAAAAAATCTTTTCTTTTCTTTTTTGCTTTCTCTTTTTATTGTTTTCTATAAGAGATGATGGATGCTGACTATACATGGTAGTTATTTCACAATATATGTAAGTGATGCATATGTAATGTATGTAAACATTATATTGTGCACCTTAAGCATATACAGCATTCCATGTGACCTATATCTCAATAAAACTGGGGGGAAAAGTTATTCTGTGCCAAAAGCTCTCCTAAAGGTTTCTCCCATTCACTGTGTTTACTCATTTTATCCTGACAACAACTTTGTGAAACAGCTATTACTATTTTCATCAGTATTCCATTTCTAGGGATGGGGAGGCTAAGATTGCAGAGACGTCAGGAATGGAGAGGAATTTGGATCTAGGCTGTTAGTGCTACCATTCCTGGACTGCAGGTGCTCTCTTCCTGGGGGCCTGCACCTCTAGCAATTTCTGAGTGACGTCTTTCAGGTTTTCTATGTAGAGTATCATGGCATCTGCAGATCGTGAGAGTTTGACTTCTTCCTTGTTGATTTGGATGCCTTTTATTTCCTTTTGTTGTCTGATTGCTGAGGATTGTACTATATTAAATAACAGTGGTATGAGTTGATATCACTCTCTTGCTTCTGACTGTAGAGGAAAAGTTCTCAGTTTCCCTCCATTGAGGCTGATATTAGCTGTGGATTTTCCATTTAAAGTCTTTCTTTTGTTGAGGTGTAGTCCCTCTAAAACTACTCTATTGAGGGTTTTCATCATGAATGAATGTTGTACTTTGTGAAATGCTTTTTCTGCATCTATTGAAACGATCATATGCTTCTTATCCTTTATTTTATTAATGTGGTTTATCACATTGATTGATTTGTGAATATTGAACCTTTTGCAACCCAGGAATAAATCCCCCTTGATTGTGGTGAATGATTTTCTTTAATGTATTGTTGGATTAGGTTTGCTAGTATTTTATTGAGACTATCTGCATCCATGTTCATCACAGATATTGGCTTGTAGTTCTCTTTTTTAGTGGGGCCTTTTTCTGGTTTTGGTGTCAGGGTAATACTGGCCTCATAGGATGAATTTGGAAGTTTTCCTTCCTTTTCTGTTCTTTGGAATAGTTTGAGAAGAATAGGTACTAACTCTTCTTTAAATGTTTGGTAGAATTTACCTGTGAAGCCATCTGGTCCTGGACTTTTGTTGGCTGAGAGTTTTCGTTTTGTGTTGTTTTTACTGGTTCAATTTCTTTGCTGGTTATCAGTCTGTTCAAGTTTTCTATTTCTTCCTGTTTCAGTTTCAGTGGTTTACTTGTTTCTAGGAACTTATCCATTTCTCCTCGATGATCCAGCAATTGAGCTACTAGGCATTTGCCCAAAGAACACAAAAATACTCATTCAAAGGTATACATGCACCTCAGTGTTTACAGCAGCATTACCAACCATAGCCAAATTATGGAAACAGCTCAAGTGTCCTTTGATGAGTGGATAAAGATGTGGGATATTTATAGAATGGAATATTACTCAACCATCAAAAGAATAAAATCCTGCCATTTGCAATCACGTGGGTGGAGCGAGCGAGTATTCTGCTAAACAAAATAAGTCAGTCAGAAAAAGACAAATACCATATGATTTCACCTGTATGTGGAATTTAAGAAACAAACAAAAAATGGCCATAGGGGGAAAAAAGAGAGAGAGAGAGGCCAATCAGGAAAGAGACTCTTAATTACAGAATACAAACTGATGGTTACCAGAGGGGAGGTGGGGTGGGGGGAGGGTGTTAAACAGGTGATGAGGATTAAGGAGGGCACTTGTGATGAGCCCCGGGTATTGCATGGAAGTGTAGAATCACTACATTGTACACTTGAAACTAATATTACACAGTATGTTAACTCACTGGAATTTAATTAAAAACTTAAGGGAACCTGGGTGGCTCAGTCGGTTAAGCATCTGATTCTTGATTTTAGCTCAGGTCATGATCTCACTGTTCATGGGTTTGAGCGTTGACAGCATGGAGCCTGCTTGAGATCCTCTCTTTTCTCTCTCTCTCTTTCTCTCTCTCTCAAAAAGAAATAAATAAACTTTTAAAAAAGGACTTACAAAAATTCATTATAGAAAACGTAAAAAACAAACAAACAAACGAACAAACAACTAAATAATACTGCATCCTCAAGGCTACCTAATTCTGCAATTCAATTTAATTCTCTGATACCGCTAAAAGAGCTTCTTCTGCAGTAGCTTCCTTGTTCAGATCTTTGCTTACAGGTACACAATGGGGGTTGGGACCTTTGCCTGTGGGATAGAAAAATGACAGATTAGGGGAATGGAATGTTACATTTCAAGACAGTCTAGGGAGAAAAAAAAAAAGATTTATAGCATTGGGTTTCTTTGACCTCTTCCTTCCTTCCTTTCAACAATGCTCACCCGACATTCCTTCTCTCATTGACAGGCATCTACATAGTCCAAGACCAAAAGAAAATACCACACTTCTCCCCAAACTGTAAGTCTTCTGGGCATTGCAGGCACCGGGATGAGTGTATCTGCCAGGTTGGTCGTAAAGGGTGAGCACAACTAAAATGTTAGAGAAGTTGATCAAATGTTACACAATTGAAAAAAACTCTTCATCTCTGCAACAATTACGTAATTGTAATTGTAGCCACAATTTAATGAATAGCCACCATTGGCTGGGCATCTCACATGCTCTCACGAACCCATAAGATAACCTTATGTGTTATTATTCTCAGTTTACAGACAATGAAGCTGGAGCTTCTGATTCCCCCCTCGGGCTGTCTTCACTCCAGCTACCCTGAATTTTTTTCAGTCTTTTAATTTTCCCTGCTCTTTTCCGCCAAAGATCTTTTGCATAGGCCGCTCCTTCTGATTGGATGCCATTTCCTCCACCCTGTGACTTATAATGCAGTTTAGAACTTATCTCAGAGTATAATCATATATTCATTAGTGTCATTTTTAAAGAATGTCTATCTCCCTCTTGATACTGTGAGGTCCATAAGAGTGGGGATTATAGATGCCTTTGCTCATTATCATGTCATAAGAAATTAGTACAATGCCAGGGACATGGTAGGCACTCAGTACTACAGGTTGCATTAATTAATTTGCCCAAATTCACAGGGCTAAGAGTCAAACCAACTTCTTCCTGGCTCCAAAGCCTGAACCGTCTCTATCGGTGCTGTGCTGCCTCCAACATTTTCATGGCACTGTAGGAAAATAAATTGGCCTTTAATGAATAACCTACATAGAGATTCCACGGAAATGGAGCCCGGCAGACCACAGCACAACCACAGTCGCAAAATGTGGGTGTTCGTATGAATAACATTGCAGATGCTTTCAGCTTTTGAATTTGCGGGGACTTCTCCACCTCTCTTCTGTCATAGTTGTCTGTCCATCCAACTATAGAAACCACTCTTCCTACCCTCCGCCCAACGCACCCTGAATTTCAGTGGCTGCCAGTCCATGTACTCGCTTCGGTGAGTAGATGGACAGATAGATACATGTGACATAGGTACAGGTGATACAGATTTGTACGCATGTCTCTCCTTTTGGAAAGGATTAAAACGGATGTTTGAATCACAGTGGAAAAATAAAACCTTCAAACTATGAATTTTTTTTCTAAAATTGTTTTTCAGTATTCACAATCTACTTCATTTTCCCTTTAGTTCCATCTCTCAGTTCTAATGCTGCACTTCAGTCTTGGAAGTGTCGGTTTCTTGCTTTAGAGATCATTGCCCTTTCCTGCTTGGGTCTCAGCAAAGAGCAATACAGTTTTCACTTACTAAGCAACGATTACATGTAAGGTCCATAGCACTTCACCTGCATGGCCTTGTACAGTAGGACTCCCAAGGTCTCTGTCAAGCTTCTCATTGTACAGAGTAGGAAACTAGGGCTCCAAAAAGTGGAGTAACTTCTCATGGTCACACAACCAGTACGGAGCACAAGCAGAATTCAAATCACATCTGATACCAATGTCTTCCTGTTCTTTCTGCCACACTGAAAAAAATAGAACATTTGAACCCAATTTAAAAGAAGTAATAAAGTCAGTCATCTCAAAGGCAGGGGCTGCTTGAACCATATGAAAACAGTAAGGGCAGATGACAAGCTACACTTACCTTTCCCTTCATTGTCTCAAGCTTTCTCTCCCCGCTTGCTTCCCATCTACACTTGCTCCTGCATAAAGGAAACTAGGAGTGCTTGACTGGTCAATTGGAAATGTCTAAGAAACTAATTCTATATTCAAATTAAGAAAGATAAAAGATTCAGGGGTGCCTGGTGGCTCAGTCGGTGAAGTGCCCGACTCTTGATTTTGGCTCAGGTCATGATCTCGCATGAAATCAAACCCTGCATTGGGTTGACATGAGCAGAGCCTGCTTAGGATGCTCTCTCCCTCCCTCTCTCTCTGCCCCTCCCCTGCTCATGTGCTTGTGCATTCTCCCTCTCTCAAACATAAATAAATAAATAAATAAATAAATAAATAAATAAATAAAAGATAGAAAAATAGAAAGTAAATATCATGTACCTTCTTCATAACAAGTGCTTTACAAACATTGACCCATTTACAACAATGCAAAGAACACTATTCACATTTTCTAGATGAGGGACACTTGGACAGGTTAAGAAACTAAAGCTCATCATTTCCTTGTGAGTCATTTCTGTTCCCTTTATAAACTTTTTCTGGCCAATTTCCTCCACATTCATATTTCAATCACCAGCTAAATGCTGATTACTCCCCAAATGTACTATTCTAGGTCCCACACATCTCTTTGTTCCCAACCAACAATTCTCAACTTTTTTAGTTACTTGAAATCTCTTTACATTTTTCCACATTATTGACAACCCCAAAGAATTTTGCTTACATAGATTATATTTATAGATGTTTACTGTGTTAGAAATTAAAACTGAGAAAAAAATCAATTTACCTGTTCATTTATTTAAAAATATAAATTCACTACATGTCAATTCTATGTTATCAAAAATGGCTATATTTTCCCAAACAAACAAAAAATGTACTGAAGAAAATGTCACTGTTTTGTAGTTGGCAAATCTCTTTTCTAACTTAATAGAAATAAGTCTTTTTTTTTCAGTCTTTTTTTTCAGTCTTTCAATTTTCAGTCATTAAATTTTAATTTTATGTGTCTGCATTTAATTCTCCTATCTGTTTCTGCATTTAACCTGCTACGATATTGACAAAAACTGGCATCATACGCATATATAGTTAGAAAGAGGAGTATTTTAATAGCCCCTCCTTTTTATTCTAAGTAATAAACAGACACTACCCAGAAGATACATAATTACATTACTAAAGTGTTTAACCTTGCTCCAACAGTATGTTGTGAATTACTTGATGTCACAGGAATTTGTCCCGGGAAGGATGCAAACAGGATATGCTCCAGGAGCTACTTACAGTGGGTGTAGCCAACATAAGCTCAACCACGTCCTGTTTTCTGAAACTATACAAGCACCTATGCCTAAGATATATGACCATATGTAACTAGAGTTATCAGGAGATAGAAAAACAGTTGTGAGAGTTTGAGAACTTTTTAAAAATTAGTTAATTTATTTTGAGAGAGAGAGAGAGAGAGAGAGAATCCCAAGCAGGTTCCGTGCTGTCAGCACGGAGCCCAATGTGGGGTTCTATCTCACGAACTGTGAGATCACAACCTGAACTGAAATCAAGAGTCGGGCGCGTAACTGACTGAGCCACCCAGGTGCCCCAGAGTATGAGAACTTTTAAATGAAAAACTAAAAGAGAAAAAAAAAAAACATACACACATTTAGTTACTTCTACATGTGACTGCTGTGTCAAGTGTGTGTTATAAGCAACAGGGTGGTTTCGATATATGCGAGATGATGGGAGCTATCCAAAGTGTGGTCCCTTAGCAATAATACAGACAGGGGTCAAGAACACATCACTCACAGTCTGAATAAATGAGAACTGTGTTACTAATTTAACATTCATATGTCCCTGATTTCCTAGCAAATTCCTTTATTTTTTTTTTAATATGGAATGCTTCATGATTTTGTGTGTCATCCTTGCACAGGGGCCATGCTAATCTTCTCTGTATCATTCCAATCCTAGCAAATTCCTAAATTCATGGATTCTGCCCAGAAAGCAGACCAAATGTTGCGGTTTTTCTTTCGAAATATGGTCACTATTACAATACACCATTAAAGAATGTCCAGGCTGTGACTTGACTTTCAGTATCATTCCACTGCTTATACGGAGATGTAAGAACATTGACCTTAACTGCTTATATGGTGTTATTATTATTACTACTATTGCTGCTATTTTATTCATCTTTTTCCAAAACTGGAAGAGTGTGAAGTTGTGTGCATATGCTGCGGGGAGAA